TTCTAGAGTAGTTCTATCTATTCCCGTCAAAAAAAGAGTATACTTACTTTTTTGTTAACAGTGCCTTTAACTTGCAGGTAGTTCCACTGACCCGAACAGCTTTGGGGAGAGCTGAAAATTTTGACAAGGTTGAACCATACTGTTCCACATTTTTCTTCGCAACATTGGCCATAGTTTTCGGTTGTTGTTCACATTTATCCTACTGAGGGTATGAACAGGTGCCTATGCCACCCATTAGAGGACCTCGGACCTGTAACCATTGCGCCACGCGTTCAACTACACAGAATAAAGTAAACGTGGAGACAAAATGATGAATTCATTCATTTTCAGGCGACATGGAGGGATTTCCTACAGAAAACGTCGAGAAGACTACGATGACGTTCGTTCGATTTTCTGCTTTTTTATTACTCGGTTGAATTTTCGTTTAGTTCATATTTTATTCAATCATTTCGGCATGATATCTGAGCTATCACATGGAGGCTGTATTTCCTTGGTCCCGTCAATGAGTAGTAATCCCCTGTAGGATCCCTTCGCTTTGAAGCTAGTAGAGGGTCCATTGAAATAGTTACAGTATGGGGCACTACATCTTTACTATACTTGAAAGTGGTGAGCAGCACCAGCTGTTTACTGATCTATAGATCGTCTCCTTCTCGCTTCAGACAGCTTTCCTGAATCCAATTCAGGGTGATCAAAAAACAGTTTCTTCTCCCCTCAGCACCGGATTCGGTGAACAGCACATTGGAATGGCTGTAAGGATCCAGGTTAACCGGCCCACTAGTTTTTCTATGATGAACTATCACCATGGACAGTTACGAAAGTATCGTGTCACTGCTCTCTAAACACTAGAAGAATGCATTTCGATTTCAATATTGTTGAGAAGATATTTGATCTGAAAATCGGGGTATGGTATTTAGGTACTGTAGATCGGGTATGGGATGTACGGCAGTTCAAACCTCGCCTATTAACCTTACCTTTATATCCCTTAACCGTGCCTCGACTTTCGATGCAGGACCAGAAGATGGAGCTAGAGGCTGAAGCAAATTATTATTTGTATTTATTTACTTATTTATTCATTACATGTCAAGCATGTGTGGTTGCAAGATGGCAACAGAAACAGAATCACAACAGGATACACATAACATAATATAATTATGAAATATAATTCGCTAGAGCTTCGTTGTAGATCTTCACTAAGATGGGCTTCGACGGCATTCATCGACTCAGGGAGGGAGTCAAGCTTAGTTAAGCGATTGCACACTGATCCGACGCGATCTACAAAGAAATTGTGCCAGGGATTCAAACGAGCTGCTTTAAAGTTTAACTTACTTTGGTTTTCCCGTGTAATTGATAGCACCATAGGAATACATCAGTACAGCGAATCTTAACTTGGCCACGGAGTACAATGAATCGCTTCAGTTTCTGTAAGCATCAAGGGACTGTTAAAAGGATTGAAATAATTTGACTTGTTTCCCGTGACTTTCTCGGATGGGCCGTGCATCTTTCTCTCAATAAGTGGAAACGCAGGTTAGCTGATGAAGTGTCGGTATGATTAGGCAATTGCACCGATCATTTGTAGGGAGAGAGCGAGAGTTAATGGACCTTCTTCTTCTTCTTCCTTCTTTCCTTAATCTCAAGGGTGCCCCTGTTCTTCCTAGTCATCGTTTTTTGTTCTATCTGCGGATTCTTCTGCTCCGCATGGTCTTTCTTGATTACGTCCGGTCAGCTCTTCATTCAGGATCCTCGTGGTCTCTCCTCTTGAGCCTCGAGCTCCAATGTTTTCCTTGAAAGGTGATCTGGTGACCTTCACAGTACCTATACCATCCCAGGATCTGCTTGTATGACATCCAAACATCTTCTTTCCTAACCCGGTCCAGACGAATCCAATACCAGGCCCATCTCAACGTTGTTGTTTGTGCTCAGTGAAGTTGCCTCTCACGATGAAACTCCTAATTAGCAACCTATTTAGGACGATGACGAATATCAGGATTTCGGTGAATACGTCTCTTTTTACCCTGTGAAGATGGGCCCTCGAGCACGTCGTAAGTTTTTTTGCTCTATCGATATTTATTAATTGATTTACTAATCACTTCAACTGCTCCGTAACTTTAAACGGTGCCGCAAATCTGTACGAAGTACAATCGCATGTTCACTTACTTCAGCATTTCTTGACGTCCCTGTAAGAAGATATGCTACGAGACGCGCCTTCGGTAGACCAATGGTGAGTTCAAAATTCAAGTCGTTTCTGATTTCTTATTGAATATTATTCGTGATTCTTATAAGCCATGCGTTTCACTTTGTACAGCCATTGCATTCGTGATTATTTGTACTTTTGAGCTTTTTTTTATCTTCTGAATATATCTTACTCGACGTCTCCCTTTGCATATCTGTAAGTCGATGTTGAAGATTCAGGTGGACCCATCTTCGTTAGGACTCAGCACCGACAGACGCCTGAATATGCTACCGGCGAAGCAAATTGTGAGTTGATCTTTTCTTATTATTTGTTTTTTTTCTGGGTAAGATGCCCTGACGGAACCAAAATCGGGTTAGAAGCCGTTCCGAGTCTAAGTGTTTTGCCTGTGACTCGAAAACCTCGCGATGGTAACTGGGGTTCCATTTTGACTGTCTGTTTCAATAATGGGCTACTGCCAACTTTTTTGAACTCTCCTGACGATAGGATTTGTGCCTGTAATTATATCTAAGAAACCAAAAAGTTTTATTGTGGAGCGTATTCGATAGATGACTCGAGGTATCTCAAGCTGCTGGTCAGAGCCAGGTGAACTAAATAAGGATAAGATCTTTGGCCTAGATTGAACACTTTCTGAGATGTGCCCCATATCTCACTTCCGTGCAGAACCGTGATGAGGTGATAGTCAAAGAATTGCTCGAAGCTTAGTCTCGACAGCACAAAACACTGTTCCAGACACTAATGGTGGCCATTCAGACCGAATGCTGGGGATATGCCCAAAACGACTTTTTAGTGACTCTTCGAGGAAATTGTTTTTTTCAGCCGCGTGATATGCATAGACTGCGTTCCCTTCCTATGGCACCATCGCCACAGATGCCATCGCCATTGACGCCATCGCCACTGACGCCACCACTGCCAGCACCACTGCCCCCGCCACCGACTGCAACGCAGCCGACACCATCGACACAATCTTCACTGCAGAATGACGTTCCCTTAGAAGTAAGATCCTATTTTTCAGCTCAAATCATTTCGATTTTCAGCCCTTAAGCGGAGTTACGACCATTTTTCTGAGTATTAACCCCAGATTGCATGAAAAAACTGCTGATGTAGTTTCATAGGTTGCAGACGTTTACATTCTTGATCCTATTTGAATTTAAAATGTTAAAAAGTCGTTAGCGGCACTTGTGTACTCACTGGGGGCGGAGTCTGGGCGATGGGCGGGGCCGGACAGTCAATTTTCATTGGAATGACACCAATCCATTCAGGATTCGACACCTCAATCGTGCTCCAAAATGTATCGACTTGCTTCAACTTTTGGTATTAGCGACATTACTATCTATGCTCGGAAGAACTGCCGTTTCTTACAGATGTTTGCTCCAGGATTCACTTGCGAACAGATTTCACATTTCGTCGATTCATGTCGCAAATATAACGTTGTATCATAGGTAGTATTGCCTACGGAGCACACACCCTGTTCAAGGATATGGTCCTGGCACGATCATTGTCCATCCTTTCCTGCCTGATTGTTACAAGTTCCACTGGGAACTTGTTTGTTGTCCTTCTGTGATATCTGTCACTACGTTACGACTCGTCCTTTTACAGTCTCCCTCGGGTGCATGTCAGACCTGCCCTTAACTTCGTCTGCTCCAAGCCTGCTCCTCTTATCAATTCCTTAGTGATAGATGGAGGTTGCTGTAAGAGTTTCTGGTTCCTGAGGCGCAAATTTTCACTTCTAAGCATAAAATCATAATCTTTAAAATCAGAAGGAAATAGGCCAAAGCGCAATATTTCGCACTTCTGTCAGTTTCGTAAACGCCTGAAAACTCGTCTACCGCTGGGAAACTCGAACGGAAGCTGTAGCCATCCCGATACTGCCTTCAACTGCATGCCTTTTGGCCGCAGAAAAAGTAATGCTCTACCGTAATACATTCGCATCCTCCCTCCATGGTTTTTGAATTGAAGGTATGCATTCTGAACCCCACAATAGTGGACCACCTCAGATAGCCCCAAAACAAAGAAATCTGAGAGCATCTGGATCTTCTCTTCAAGACGGTACTATTCCACTATTACGACCCCAAAAACTCAAAATTTTAATTTTCGATGAAACTTCGCCTGTAGGGGCAATCCGGTGCCCTGATAACGAATATGACTTTCACTTTTGGCGCTGGTGCCATTTGGCGCCAAATGGCGCCAAGGGTGTTTTCACCAAATTCGCCGAAAACTTGCGTTCAGGGGTTATTTGAGGTCATGATAACGAATATAACATCCATTTTACGCGCTGAGCCTACTTGGCGTGACGACAAGGCATACAGGTTGTGGGGGAGACGATGTGACTC